GTGCATGCCCGCAGCTCCAGCACTTGGGAAGTTGGAGATAGGATCTGGAGTTCAAGATCACCTTTAAGTGTGGAACAAGATGAAGACCAGGGTGTGGTGGGGTGTGTCTGGGCCGGAGCAGGGATACTGCAGCAGATCCGTTTCTTGGCATATTTGACTTGTTATTTTCAGTGGTGCCATCACATGTCAGCACATTCCTCTGGTCATCCTCCATGCCATCGCCCATCTCCTTGATGTGGCTTCATGCCTGGGCTGATGGGGCTTCAGCGTTGGAGGCAGAAGGATAGTGGTCCGTACATGAGTCCCCCTTGGAGTCCAAAATGCAGGTCAGGGAGAGAGCATTGTTCCAGTCAGGAGAGCAAGTCCTGAGTCTGCCAGGAGGTGGGCTTCCTTGGTCTACAAAGCCTTTCTAGAAGGTAGCTTTGCCCCGAGCTTTGAGCCAGTCAAGAGTCAGCCTGCATCAGAGTGCGCTAATATGGAGAGGCGCCTTGTCTGCCCTGGTAGCATGTGTATATAGTACCAGCTACCCTGAGGGCCGAGGCGTGAGGATCACTTTAGTCCAGAAGTTCGAGGTAGCCTGGAGCAGGTTAGGACATTCGAGCTCCAACAAAATCGGGAGTGTGGGCCTTGTGGGCATTCAGTCTTTTCCAGATTGCCAGAGTGTTGTTCCCAGGAATCCAGAAGTACACCTAGGACCCTATAGAACCCTAGAGCTCCATACTGTTGTCCTTCCAAAAGAATTAGATGTCTAGGCCAGGAGTCTACTATTCATATCTTTAATCCCAGCACTTAGCAGGCAGAGGCACTTGTATCCAAGTTCTAAGCCAGCCTGGTCTACAGAGAGTTCCTGGACAGCCAGGGTTACATAGAGAAAGGCTAGCTTCAAAAATAAGTAGGTAAGTAGGTTAAAAACAAAACCTAGGTATCTGGGCCCTGCTGGCCAGCTACAACATTCTGGACTCGTAGCTCTCTTCTTCCCAGTGTTTGTCTTTGGTGCTGGGATGCAAACCAGGAGCCAGTGCTCTGTTGTTGAGCCTTACCTTTGAGACTTTCAGTTTTGTTTTGTTTTGTTGCTGTTTTTCAAGACAAGGTTTCTTTGTGTAGCCCTCATTGGGCTCACTTTGTAGACCAGGCTGGCCTTGAACTCACAATGATCTGCCTGCCTCTGCCTCCCTGAGTAATAGGATTACAGGCATGTGCCACCATGCCCTGCTGAGCTTTTATTTCTTTTTCTTAAGATTTTTTATTTTTATTTTTTTATACAACATTCTGCCTGCGTGTGTGCCTGGACACCAGCAGAGGGCACCAGATCTCATTGCAGGTGGTTATGAGCCAACATGTGGCTGCTAGGAATTGAACTCCGGACCTCTGGAAGAGCAGCCAGTGCTCTTAACCTCTGAGCCATCTCTCCAGCTTGCCTTTCAGTTTTTATCTAGCAGGCACTGAAGAGTCACAGCTCCTGAGCTGGTCAATGTTAACCTCCTAGTTTATAATTAAGGAGCTGACTCAAACGATGGGGGAGAGACAACTTGGTGAAGGCAGAGGGCTGAAAGCAAAGGCTTGAGGTCACCTTCCCGGGGCAGTGGGAGCAGGATTCAGTTGCCAAGTGTGACCTTCCCATTCCCCGCAGGCCCTGTGCACCAAAGTGCCCGAGCTAATCAAAACCATCATGGACTGGACGCTGGACTTCCTCCGAGAACGGCTGCTTGTCTGGATCCAAGACCAGGGTGGCTGGGTGAGACCCCTCAGTCCTTGCTACATTTTAGAGCCTGGTTCTCAGCCTTCCTAACGCTGCCACCCTTTGATACAGCTCCTCATGTTGTGGTGACCGCAAACCATAACATTATTTCATTGCTACTTCCTAACTAACTTTGCTACTGGTAAAAATCTGATATGTGACCCTTGTGGGGTCATGAACTACAGTGGAGATACACTTTTTTTTTTTCAAGACAGCGTTTCTCTGTATAGCCTTGGCAGTCTGGACTTGATTTGTAGGCCAGGCTGGCCTCGAACTCACAGAGATCCGCCTGCCTCTGCCTTCCCAAGGGCTGGGATTACAGGAATGCACCCAGCTACAGACACTTATTTAGATACAAGGGTTACCACAAGTGCCCCAGGCATTCAGACATTATCTAAGATGTGTGTCCTTACATCTACCAGCCTGGTGCGTCTGGTACCAGCTGACTTTGCTGTGGCCTGATTTGATTGGTGCCATCAGATAAAATGCCTTCCCTTCCAGAATCTCTCAAGTGCCCTGGTGACCTTTTGACCCCAGCTTGCTTTGTTAGTTCATGTGTTCATTCATTTATTGAGATGGTCTCGTGCATGTATCTTAGGCTGTCCTCAAACTTACTGTGTAGCTGAAGATGCCCTTGACCTTCTGACCGTCCTGCTTCCATCCTGCCAGTTTCTGAGGTGTTAGAGAGAACCCAGGCCTTGTGCACTCCAGCCAAGCACTGTCCAGACTGAGCTGCAGCCTGGGTCCTCCTGTAGTCCACGGCTGCTCTGGTAGTCACTGTGTAGCCCACACTAGTCCAAATGTGTTCTTCGAGTCTTACCTTCAAGTGCTAGGATTACATGTGTGAGCCACCACGAGATTATAATCATGGTTTTGGGTTTTTCTCCCTCGTTCTGGGCTTATGGGTCGGGTGGGGTACTTTTTATTTATTTTGCATGTATGTGTTTGTGTGGAAGTCAGAGGATAATTTGCAGTCGTAGTCTGTTCTCTCCTACCCTGTTGGTTCTGGAGGTGGAATTTACATTGATAAAGGCCTGGCAACGAGCACTTTCCCCTGTGAGCCAAGATGCTGGCCTATGTTTTGTTTCTAGAGTGAGGGTCTCAGTAAATTTCCTAGCTTGATGGTAAACTGGAGACCCTCCTCAGATTCCTGGGTGCTGGGATTATAGGCCCGGGGTCTCCTTAGCATCCCCTCATGTGAAATATCTGCCCCTTTCACCCTTCCCCCTGCAATTTGGTGTTGAAGTAACACTTATATCTGTTCCGCAGGATGGCCTCCTCTCATACTTTGGGACCCCCACATGGCAGACAGTGACCATCTTTGTGGCTGGAGTTCTCACTGCCTCGCTTACCATCTGGAAGATGAGCTGAGGCCGCCTGCTGCCTTGGACTGTGTCTTTTCTTCATAAATTATGGCATTTTTCTGGGACAAATGGGGATGGGATGGGCATTTTTCTTACTTTTGTAATTATTGGGAGGGTGGGAATGGTGGCCTGGGGGAGGGGACAATAAACCTCAGGTCCACTTTGGATTGTATGGTTCTGTGTCCACCCAGCTGGAATCACATGCGTGGGCACCGGGTCCAATGTCCACCTGAGGCAGCCAAGCAGAGGCTTGACATACTACTCTACACACAAGCACACAGTGCTGTCCTTTACCCTGACCACAGGGCCACAGGGGCCTGGGAGTCCAGAGATTCCCTGCTGGTTCTGGAAGAACAGAATGGAAGGAGGGAGAGGGCCAGAGAAATTGGAGCAAACTTCTAGGTGTCGGATTGCCAGAGAGGCACCGAAAATGAAGAGGGGAGTGCATTTTAGGGGATTCGGTCCGTCCCCTGTCCGTCCGTGTCCCCCCCCCCCCCCCCCCCCGCCGCCACTTGCATTTGTGTGCCCCTGCCCTCTTTGGGTCCTTGTTCTCTATGGGTTCCTGGCTTTTGTCTTTTACAGCCTTGTCCCAAGGCTATCAGGCGTTGGAAACCAAAGGTCAGGCTCTGAAGCGCTGTGGTTAATGAGTAACTTTGTGCCCAAATCAACAGGGCACCGCAGACGTGGAGTCAGGAGAAATGTGTAGGGCAGCCATCCTAGAGAGAGACAACTGCCTGACCACACTTGGGGAAGGAAGGCAGGAGGGAAAAACAGACCACAGCCCTCTCAGAGAAGGGGACAACAGGCTGTCAGCAGGGTGAGGCAGGCGCCCCACCCCACAACCACCGCCAAGCTGAGTTCAGCGTGACTCAGCATGGCTGGCCCTGCCACCCCTTCCACAAAGGCCCCCGGGCAGGGCTCCCTTGACCCATCTTTCCAGGTTCTTCCATTAGGTCCTCTTCCACAATAAGGCAGGTCTCCCTTGGCCTCTCAATCTACCAAGTCCTGAGGTTGGAACCCTGGGAAAGCCTGTCCTGTCCTCAGAAGTCACCTTTGGACCTTGCATGCATCAAGTGTTTGTACCCGAAGACAGGCTGTTCCTGGGTCTAGAGTTCTTGTTCTCCATGACTCGGGCTTTTCTCTGTGATTCCAAAAAGTAAGCTGCAAGGAACACTCTTTCTGGAAAAGCAGCTCAGAAATTCCCCAAAGCGCCAGTCCTGAACAAATCTCTTCCTAGACAAAACAGGTCCCCTGATCCAGCACCACGAGACCTAGACAAGACAGGCTGACCAGGGCTCCAAAGTCTGGGACCCCACGTGTCACCTTGGAAAGTATGGGAGATACATGGATACACACGATAACCCTTTCCATCCTGCAGACCACCTCCAGGCCTCCCCCAGGAGGTTCAGCGAAACAAGACGAAGTTCCCGTTGTGAACCTAAAACCCTATTAATTCTGGGTACCCCTTCATCCCTTAAGATCTCCGGGTCCCTTCCAAACTCCCCCATCAAGTGGTATCCTTTCTTCATGTGGAGCAGTTCTTGGGCACATGGAGGCTCTCTGCACCACAGATTGCGTGTCCCCAGTGTGAGACACCCGCAGAGGACCTCAAAGCCATCGCTCCCCCGGGGGGGCGCAGCGCCAAGCTCCCCAAAACCCCCGACTCCTCGGAATCCGCCGGGAACCCCGGCTCCTGCCCCTCCCCCAAGCCTCCATTTCACAACGGCCTCGCGCTCCGGGCGCGTGACTTCCTATCACGGGGGGGGGGGCCCTCCGAGAGGCCCCTCAGCTCGGGATTGGTCAGCCGCCATCCTCCGGCCCCGCCCCGCGCCACCGCCGATTGGTTGACCGCTGGCCCCGGGCCTCCCGCCCCCCGGGGGCCGGCAGACTATAAGAGGAGCCCGCCCGGCCGCGGGCCCGAGCCGCGCCTTGGAGGTCCCGTGGATCTGCGTCTTGCTTCAACAGTGCTTGGACGGAGCAGACCCGGGGACTCCCCTGAGCTTCCAGCCGCCCTCCCCCTGTCTCTGCAGCCGCAGCCTCCGGGACCATCTCCTCGCCGCCCTCGGCCCCCAGGATCAGCCAGCGCCGTCTCCGCGCTCCGCTCCACACCGCGATCAGCCATGACCTCCCAGGTTCGTCAGAATTACTCCACCGAGGTGGAAGCTGCCGTGAACCGCCTGGTCAACTTGCACTTGCGGGCGTCCTACACCTACCTCTCTCTGGTGAGTTGCATGGGGTTGCGTCCGAGCCGCGTCCCCCATACCACCTCCGGCGCATGCGCGGACCTTCTTTGTTCCATCGAGGGAGGAGCCCGCGCTCCGGCCGCGCCCCCTCCCAGCTCTTGTTTATCTTGGGATAAAGGTCTCACTGTGTAGTTTGTCTGACTGGAAGTCGCCGTGTAGACGAGGCCGGCCTGGAAATCAGATACACCGCCTCTGCCTTCTGAGGGTCGCAGTCGAAGGTTTGCGCCGCCGCGTTAACTTGGACAATTTCTTCCCGCAGGGCTACTATTTTGATCGGGATGACGTGGCCCTGGAGGGCGTGAGCCACTTCTTCCGCGAACTGGCTGAGGAGAAGCGCGAGGGCGCCGAGCGGCTCCTCAAGTTGCAGAACGACCGCGGGGGCCGCGCACTCTTCCAGGATGTGCAGGTAAGAATCGCAGGCTGGACCCCACCGCGCGTGCGAGCGATTTGTTCGGGCCGGATTTGGGGGAGGGGGGAGGTGTTGGTAAGACTTTGAAGGCAACAGGGTGTCAGTTGCAAGTTAAGCATTGGCTCTTGGAACATGTTGGTAGAGGAGTAGAAGTTGAGACCACAGGACTGCCCTGGTTTGGGGGAGGCAGTCCCCTTTGTAGCCCTAGCTGCTGTGGGACTCCGGAGTCTTCCCTCCCAACCCCTCAGTGCTGAAGTTAAGACAGGCTCCATTGTGTTTCCCCACTGTGTCCACTCCCCTGGCCACTTCCTTTTGGCTAGGTGAAGGATGTAAGGCTGGTTCTGAGACTTGGTGTTTTTGTGTGTAGAAGCCATCTCAAGATGAGTGGGGGAAAACCCAGGAGGCCATGGAAGCTGCCTTGGCCCTGGAGAAGAACTTGAACCAGGCCCTCCTGGATCTTCATTCCTTGGGTTCTGCCCGCACAGACCCTCATGTAAGTGCCTTGTTAATCCTTTCTTCTCTCTAACAAGGCCTAGGCTGACTGTTTGCTTCTAACTCAGAAATACTGCCTCTGCCTCCTCCTGAGTGTTGTCGGTACAGAAGCACCACACCCAGTACTTGTCTGCCCTTGGGGACAGATTTTTTACTGGGTCTTTGATGCCTCTTCTTCCTTTACAGCTCTGTGACTTCTTGGAAAACCACTTCCTGAATGAGGAGGTGAAGCTCATCAAGAAGATGGGGGACCACCTGACCAACATTCGCAGGCTGGCTGGGCCACAGCCTTCTCTGGGCGAGTATCTCTTTGAGCGCCTCACTCTGAAGCACGACTAGGAGGCAGCCTCACCTTCCAAGGGGCTCCTCCTCTGCTCCGCACCAGCCAGCCCTAGGGACCTCCCTGAGCAAACTCTCACGCCACTAGGCAGCTTTGTAACCGCCCTGAAGCCCCTCTCAAGTCTTGGACCAAGCAAAAATAAAGCTTTTTAAAACAGCAGCTGGTGACTTTTCTATATATGTGAGCAAAAGGTGGCCCCTACTCGTTTCCTGATGAACCTGCCTACATGGTAGTTAGTACCTACCTTCTCAGAGCAGGTCCTAGGAGTCTGTTGCAGCGATTTGTCTTAATGTTTTGTTACTGTGCAGGGAGTGAAAAGAGGCCTCAACATCCAAGCTCAGAAATGAGCCACGCTCGTATCACTGCATTAGGCTAAACAAAAGGGTGGTGAAGATTGCAAGCAGAAGCCTTGCTTCTGGTAAATGTTGGTGCAAGGCATGCTGGGAGGGTGGGACCCATCAGAAGAAGGATGTGAAACTAGACCAGTGTCCAAGTGGGCACTAAACCCTGCCAAGGGGTTAGAAGCATGGGACCCTGGACAGCTGCTGTGTCAGCGCAGGCCCTTTTAACGTGAGCAGTCTAGGAAACCGCGATGGGCTCTGCTCAGCCCTGTGCCACTGCGTGGTAGACTCGTGATTCCATGGCGAAACAGTCGTGTGGACAGGAGGGCGACTGGCTACAACTACAGTTTCCTAGTCGGGTCACTCCACTCCCAACAGTCACATAAAAGGAGACTTAAGAACTAGAGGGAGAACTCAGCCATGCAGAGATAACAGACTAAAAGAGTGCAGGCCGTGGGGTCTTGCTAACACAAATCAGATGGTGATGTCCCCAAGGGAAGTAGCCAGTACTACTGAGAAACAGGATTCAAGTTTTTGGTCTGTCTGAGGGTTGGAATCCAGGTTCTCGCTTTGGAGCCGACATTCTGCTTAGCTGCATCACTAGGCTGCTTTGAACTTTCTGAGGAGGGGCTGACCAAGTTGCAGAAGCTGGCCCTGGAGTATAGTCCAGCTCGGCTGTGAGCTTGGGATCCTTTGCTATGTGCCCTTGTGACTTCCCTGGGCACCTTCCATTGTCCTCTGCTTCCTACCCAAGGCCACTGGAGCCAAGTTTCGTCACTTGCAGCTCAAAGCTAAGCAGGCAAATGCCCCATTCCTAACAGCATCGGAATCAAACAAGTCCAAGCTTGCACAAAAGCATGAGGTAGAAGAACATGGAGTAGGTAAGAACTAAAACCAGGAGGAGGCTGGGCTCCTGCAGGAGCCTGTGAAAACTGAAAGGGAAGCAAGGGAAGAGACCACACAAGAGCTCATGTCCAGCTGTGGTTGGAACTCTTAAATACAGGTGCATATATATATATTTTTCATCTCTGGACACACTCCAATCACACACCTTCTGCCCTTCCCCTCCCAAATGCAAATCAAGGGTGCCAGGCCAGACACAGCATACGTGAGGGGCCTGCCCATTCACTGAAGCTGGGGACAGGACGGAGCTTGCAGGCAAAAAGGCCTTGAGGTACACGTAGGGCTTCAAGAAGCCAGTGGGCTCGGCTCTGTATCAGGAAAGGGGACCAAGGCGCGGCACAAGACTCCTGATTCAGCCACCGGGACCCAGAGCCCAGTGGTTTCACAGTGGGATGAGCAGGGATGGGGTTGACAGCCATTCTGTCCTCCATGGAGACGTTCCCTAGAGGGGACGCTGGCCCCGGGAGAGAAGGTCTGGTCCAGCTCGGCATGCTCCCTTGAAGAAACGACATACCCAGGGAGGCCAGCCTTGCAGCCTGTCCTGGCATCCCAGTTGTGGTTGAAATGGAGGACCGTAAGCATTCTGCTCTATTTACTTTGATTTTGAGACAGTGCCTCATGTCGCCCAGCCTGTCCTTGAACTCCCTATGTATTAGCGGAGGAGGACCTTAAACTTCTGACCCTACCAAGTGCCGGGATTACAGGTGTGCGCTCTCCACACCGGGTTTATGAGGAGCCAGAGCTAGACCCCAGGGCTTTCAACTAGGCCAACAACCTGCCACCTGAGCTACCCTCAGCCCATGAACTGTTAATCCCTGAAGTGTCCTAACTCTGAACTTGGTTGTCCCAGTTGCAGGGAGGCCACGCAGATGCTAACCTGAGGTGGTCCCTAGGGGCAGGCCTGAGCACAGCATACTCTGTATGGTTGTAGGATCATGAAGCCACAGCCTGCAAACCAAGAAACCAGGTGTCCTAAAACCTCTGGCATTGAAGAGCAACGGCAGATTCCTGGCCTCTGGGCCCCAGTCTAAGCCTGGAGACTCCAGGGCATAAAGAATGCATTCTGCAATCCAAGAAAGGCACAGCGGCATGGAGTGTGGGGACTCCCGAGGCTGGAGTCCAAGGGCTGGAGTGTCTGAAACGGAGGCTGGGCTATGGACCACACTGGGTAGGGGTCCGGCTCAGGGTCTGGAGTGAGGTTCAGGCACGTTTCTATCTGCATAGGCCCCCTGCAAGAGGGACACAGGACAGGCAGGGAGTGGAGTGGGGTGGGAGGGGCTTAGTTGCGCTCCTCGCCCAGGGAACTGGTAGGACTCAGGGGCTCCGTGGGCGTGCTGAGTGAGCTGGAGGGCCCAGTGTCCACCGAGTTGCTTCTCTTGCTCCCGCCTGTGGAGGAGGAAGAGACGGCCCGCCGAGGCCACTCAGGTGCTCGGATGTTGCGGCGGTCCTTGGCAGCCTCTTCCTCCTCGTCATAACGCTCACTCTCTTCTCCCAGGGGCTCCTCCCGGGGCTCTTCCTCATCCTCACTCTGGTGCGGGCTGGAGTGCCGCGACAGCGAGGGCGATGGTGGCACGGAGGCTGGCCGTGGGTAGCGGTACCCCTGGGTCTGCATCCCCAGGACAGGCACAGACCAGAGTGAATGCAAGCCACGTAAGTCCCGAGAGGCGACCCCTGACCCTCAGCCCGAAACCAGCCTGCCCAGCCTTTTACTCCCGACCCAGCACTGGTCCTGGCTCCACTTACCGCATCTACCTCATGGGGCTCATAGGTGAAGTGATCCGGAAAGGCCTTGGCCAGGGCCATGTGCCGCGCAGACATGTAGTACTAGGCAGAAAGGAAGGCAGAATGTGTCATGGAGAGAGCCTGCACTCCCGGCTTCAAGCCGGTAAACCCGGCACTCTTTCACTCTTTTTTTTTTTTTTTTTTTTTTTGAGACAGGGTTTCTCTGAGTAGCCCTGGCTGTCCTGGAACCCCTTCTGTAGACCAAACTGGCCTCAAACTCAAAGATCCGCCTGCCTCAGCCTCCCCAGTGCTTGGGATTTAGGGCCGGCGCCACCACTGCCCAGTCACATTTTTTTAAACAAGGGCCACGCCCCCACCATCATCACTCAGTGTCTCCCACTGAGCCACTCTGGTAGGTGGTAGGTAAGGGTCCACAAACTCCCAGCACTCCCAGCTCCAGCCCTGTCACAGGTGGAGTCTAGGCAAGGGCCCTACAGCTGCCTACATCCCCAGCAAATTTTCACTTGATGAGGAGCCTAGACTGGTCTGTAGATAAGTTTCTCCTGCCTCACCGCCCTTCCAAGTGGCGGGATGGCAGGCCTGAGGCAGCAGGTAGACTGTATTTTCACCTGACTGTATTTTCTGTTTTCTGAGCTAGGGGTGTTACTATGTCCCCCAGCTGGCTTTGAACTTTCGCCAGGCTCCATCTGCTACACCCTTATGCAAATGAGCACACTGGGCAAACTTCTCTCATCTCTCCTGTGTAAACTATGTAAATGTCCACCTAGGCCAGGTAAGGACAATCCTCTAGTCACACACCTTACTAGAGCGCAGGTGAATTCTCAAATCTAGTGCTGTTTTGGCCACATCCTGTATGCAAATAAGAACATTGACCAAATGCTATTTCTAGATTTTTTTTTTTTTGTTAGTTTGTTTTTGTTTTCTTGAGGGGGTGGGGACTGGATCTATGTAGCCCTGGCTGTCCTGGAACTGGTTATGTGGACCAGGCTGGCCTTGAACTCAGAGCCCCACCTGCCTGTGCCTCCAAGTGCTTGGATTAAAGGTGTGCACTGCCACATCTGGCTCTCTGTTTTTTTCTTCCCTTTTGGGGGTGTGTATGTGTGTGATTGTGTGTGTGAGAGAGAGACAGATTGTGTGTGTATGTATGTGATTGTGATTGTGTGTGTGTCTATACACGGAGGCCAGGGGGCACATGCAGGTGTCGTTCTTCAGGTGCTCTTCATGATGAGCTGTTTCCTAGGATGCATGTATTTATGTTTGGGTATATGAACTTTAGACGGATGCTGTGCACGTGCCTGTGTGCAGGGATCAGAACGGGGCATGAAATCTCTTGGAGCTGGAATTACCAGTGTTTCCTGGATGCCAAGTTATGAGAGTGTTGTGTGAACTCTGACTTTCATAATTGCATAGTAACCACACCTAACCATCCCTCCAGTCCCTTTTCTGGGGGTGGGAAGTGGGAAGACAAGGTCTTGCTACCTAGACTAGGCTGGCTTTGAGCTCACAGCAATCCAAGAGATCCGCCTGTCTGCCAGTGAAGGGCTGGAATTAAAGGCATACAACCCATACCTGGCCTTCATCTTGGTTTTTTGTTTTTGCTTTGTTATTGATTGATTGATTGATTGAGATAGAGATGTGCCATAAAGAGGGCGCTGGCTATCCGGCGAGCCCCAGGGTTTCTCTGTGTAGCCTTGGCTGCTGTGGAAACCACTCTGTAATCCGGGCTCCCTCTGCCCCCTGAGCGCTGGGATTAAAGGCATGTGCCACCATGCGAGGCTCTCTCTACCCTCTTAAGACTACAGAACCAGGGGAGGCTAAGGAAAGGAAGTCACTCATACCCGGCCTAGGTACTTCCAATCCAACAAGTCTGACAGACGCTCTGTGCGGTTCCGCTGGATGATGCGCTGTCGCCGGCTCTGCTGGCAGAAGCTGTAGAGGAAGGAGGTGAGCTGCGAGCAAGAATCATCCAGGCTGCGGAACCGCCGATCCAGAATGTAAATGCCTGCGGAGGCAGTAATGGAGGTTCGTTAGAAAGAGAAAAGCCCGACCTGTGCAGCAGGGCCGCCATGCTCCGCCGCCCCAGGGCCGCCATGCTCCGCCGCCCCTGTGCACTGACCGTAGGCTGAGGGGTCTGCGATGTGCTCCTCCATGAAGCAGCCGAAGCCGGAGAGGTTGGTGGAGATGCTGGGGATGCCCATGACCGTGCACTCGGCTGGAGGGCAAGAGCGCAAAGAAGTCGGCAGCCCGCCCCGTAAGAGACGGCTCTACGCCGCCCCCTGCTGGCCGCTGCGCCAAGTGCGCCCTCGCTGTACCCGCCAGGGAGCCTGAGGGACTCGCCCATTTCTAAGCAGTTAAGCCGAGCAACTGAGAAAAGTGAATCTGCAAAAAAGTCTGTGATGAAGAGAACACTCGCTTACTAACGCGAGGCTCGCATAACTTTACTTAACCCTCATGACACTGAAACTACGGTTTTTGGGTGTGTGCGTGCCAGGGTGTACTCTGGATTATGACGTCATAGGCTGGTTGTAGTTTTGTTTTTTGGTTTTGTTTTTTTTTTCAAGAAAGGGTTTCTCTGTGTAGCCCTGGCTGCTCCAGACTCACTCTGTAGACCAGGCTGGCCTTGAACTCAAAGATCTCCCTGCCTCTGCCCCCTGAGCGCTGGGACCAAGGTGTGCGCCACGGTGCCCAGGGAAGCTTGGGTCCTCTAGAAGAGCAGCCTGTGTTCCTGGTTGCGAGGCCATCTCTCCAGTCCTTGTTTTTGTTGTTGTTATTCTTTTGAGACAGGGTTTCTCTGTGTAATAGCCCTGGCTTTTCTGGAATCACTCTGTAGACCAGGCTGGCCTCGAACTCACAGAGCTCCACCTGTGTTTTGAGACAGGATCGCATGTAGCTGAGGATGGCTCTGCGCTCACTGGGCAGCCGAGGGTACCCTTGAACTCCTAACCTTCCACATGCCATTCATTAGCATTCCAGCTGTACACACCAGCTGCGGGTTAGCTAGTCTGCTTTTGCGACAAGGCCTTGCAGTGTAGCCCAGGCACTCTCCTGCCTCAGCTTCCCCAGGGTGATACCACACGAAGCTCACAGTCTGTTTCCACCAGAGGTAGGAAGAGCTCTCAGGGTGAGGTATAACAGCAGTCTGTGATCCCCAGGTTCCGGTCCTACCTCACCAACTAAGGCGAGGACCGCCGTGAGTGCAAGCCTGGGCGATAGAGACCCCGTGACAGAACACTCCACGCACAACATCCATTCTCTCTCTCTCTCCAGACAGGGTTTCTCTGTAGACCAGGCTGGCCTTGAACTCCTCAACTCAGTGACCCACCAGCCTCCAACTCTTGAGTGCTGGAGCTAAAAATGTGTGCCACCAAAGCCTGGCTCCAGTGTCATCATAACTAGAACAGAGTGGTGATTTGCAAGTGACTATCAAGAGCAGGACCTGCTGATGACCCTCATGTAAGAGGGGTGGACATTAGACCCTCTACAGAGAGTCCGACCATTCCTTCCTCATCTCCCTCAGAGGTTAACCTCTCACCCAAGCTCTGTAAGGAAGCCCAACAAATTCACTGCGTGTGTGTGTGTGTGTGTGTGTGTGCGTGCGCGCGAGCGCGCGCTCTCGCGTGTTCGTGTGTGCATACGTGCGCGCCCGCCAGGTTTGATGAACATGCCTACATTATAAGCATTCAAAAGTGGAGGTAGGAAGGTCAAGAGTTCAAGGTAACTCTCAGATACATGTGAGCTTGAGGCCAGCTTGAGTTTTACAAAAAAGGCCTGAAAAAAAATAACAACAACAACAAAAAAAACCTCCACAGTCTCCCCTCACTGAAGGAGAATTATACACAAGCAATTCCAACTCAGAGCGCAGGGCTGAAGAGAGGTGTGGAGAGGATGTGGAAGCTGAAGGTCACTGGGGACCAGGAAAGGAAGTTCAGCTGGTAGAGGGCTCGCCTGGCAAGCACAAAGCCCCAGGTAGCAGGCTTGTAATCCCAGCTCTCTGGAAGTGGAAGCAGGATCAGGAGTTCAAGACCAGTCTCAGCTATGTGGCAGGCTCAGCAGCAGCTCATGTGTTTTGGGGATCAAGCATTAGCAAACTGGAGACACCCACTGGAAATGAACACCAGTCTTTAGAAGACCAGAGCCCTGGAGACTTTGGCGTCACAGAAACGGACACCGAGAGGCCATGTTGCAGATCCAGGACCCAGGACCCAGCCCTCTGCCACCCCTCAGCCCCTGCACTCACCTGGCGTGTAGCCCCAGGGCTCATAGTAGGAGGGGAAGACCCCAAGGTGACAGCCACGGACAAACTCTTCATAGTCCACTGGGAGTAGAGGGCTTGTGGAGGAGAGAAACTCGGGGTGAAAAATCACCTGTCAACAGAAGAGAGGGCCTCAGCTACTTTCGAGCCACCTGGAGTGGCTCGGAGCCAGTACTACACTCCAAACACACAGCAGGTCCACAACAAACCAAAGGCCTCGTCCGGTTGGCCTCAGAGGCCAGGGCTCGCTACAGATGTGTGATGCTCAAGGAACAGCCCTTCCCCTCACCGCGCCCCACCAGCCGCCCGCCAGCCCTCACCTTCACACGGTCCGCACTACTGTTGAAAAGGCCAATTCGGCGGATGGTGGTCAGGATGGGGTCCGAGGAGTCGTCTAGCATGTTGTGCGTGCACACAGGGGGGAAGGATTGCCTCTGTGGAGGTCACAGTGACGTGCGGTCAAGGGAGGGCAGGGGACTTGCTCCTGGGTCACAACGGCACCAGGGAGCTGAAGAAGCCACCGAGAGAGGTCAACACATTCAAGACTGGAGCCCAGCCTTCTCCCTCTAATTATCATGAGCAAAACCAAACCAAACCAGCAAAAATCCCAGCTGCATTGAGGCAGAGTGCCGTTAAGGCACCCCACCAATTACGAGGAAGTGTCTGTCCTTCGCTCTTTACGCTTGTTGGTCCCTAGAGAAACATCAAAGAATCTCAACAAGATGAAAGCAACTACCTTGGCTGATGGAACCATTTAATATAAACCAGCATGACAGCAGAATGTTGGAACACCTCCCCCCAAATGGGGGTGGGGGAGGGAGGAAGGTCCAGGAGTCATGCCAGGAAATCCTTTCTATCGTGAAGAGGGTTTTTTTGTGTGTGTTTAGATTTATTTATTTTAGGTATGAGTGCTCTACCTGCATGTACGCAGCTTCGTGCCAGAAGAGGGCATCAGAGCCCAGTATAGTTGTGAGCTACCATGTGGTTGCTGGGATTTGAACTCAGGACCTCTGATAGAGCAGACAGCGCTCTCATCTCTCAAGCCCCTCATGTGGCATTCTTTACAACCCGTTCAGCATCCCATTAAAGGGCCTACTCATTGGTGGTGTTTGAAGGCCAAAAACTACAACTCCCAGCAGCACCATCTTAGGATTCTTCATTAATGAAGCTGGATTGCCTCACTTCAAAAATATTTTGTCCAAGAGCACAATCCACCTCATTAGCTGGACAGCATGTTAGTTGTCCAGATTCCAAAACCCGGCCTCACCAATGCCAGCCATTGGCACCAAAGTCCTTTGAGCCACAGGAAATTAAAGAACTCTAACTCCCAAAAGCCTCAGGGGCAAAGGAAGTCAATGTACTACAAAGTGTCCCAGGGACTGATGGGAGTTGTAGTTCCCAGTTTGTGAGCCACATCTTCTTCCTAATGTTTCCCATCTATTTCATTCCAACCTCAGGAACCAGAGGGTTTCTGTGGGAAATAAGACACAGCCACAAAGCAGGGCCTGGTGGTGCACATTTTTAATCCCAGCACTAGGAAGGCAGAGGTAGGTGGATCTCTTGAGTTCGAGGCCAGCCTGCTGCACAGAGCAAGTTCCAGGACAGCCATGACTACATAAAGAAACCCTGTCTCAAAATAAAACAAACCAAAACAAAAGACCAACCAAACAAACAAAAAACAAACCGACACAGCTGCAGGACAAGGAATGGTGGCCTTGAGTATTCCATGTTCTCCAGGAAACACTGGGTATGTTGATTTACCTGTCTCCCATCCCCTAACGGCTCCTAAAACTACCCTTCTCAGGAGCCCCTGGGGCAGCAGAAAAGCTAGTGGATAGCAATGATCAGGGAGATTTGGCAGTTGCGATTCTTCTTTTGCATTTATCTTGACTCTCAACATCCTGATTCTTTGTGCACTAACCCAAGAAACCGTAACTCCCAGCACCCTGAAGTTGTCACCCAGCAGGCCTGTGACCCTTCAGTGAACTAAGTTCCTGGAAAGAAATGTACCTGAACAGTGAACAGCCTTGTCGAGGCCGGCTGATTGTGCAGACGCTGGAATGTGGACGGTGGAATGAGGGAGGTCTACAGTTAGACATTGACTTGCAAAAGCAAAGCTGGGCCTGCTGGCCCACACTTTTAATCCCAGCACTACAGAGGCAGAAACAGGCAGGTCTCTGAGTTCAAGGCTAACCTGCTCTACAGAGTTCCAGGATAGTCTAAGGCTAAGCAGAGAAACCTTGTCTTCAAAAATAAAACAAAAACACCACCGCCAACAACAAAAATTTATCTGGGCCTATTTCAGCCCCCTAAATAGGCACTCCTTGCCACCTGACTACGATCTAAGAGTCATAACTTAAAATCTTATGGGATACATTAACTTAACGAAACCCTAGCTTTCACCAATCAAGACTAAAAATGCCAATCGGCAGCATTTTAGACCCAAAGGAAAAATCCCCCCTTTGCAGCACCCTCCGCCCTTTTGTCATGTTTTGCTTTTTGTTTTTTGTTTTTTGTTTTTTTTTTTTTGAGACAGGGTTTCTTGGTGTAGCCTTGGCTGCCCTGGTCTTGCTTTTGTAGACCAGGCTAGCCTCAAACTCAGAGCTCTGCCTGCCTCTGCCTCCCTCTGCTGGGATTACAGGAGTATGCCACCATGCCCGGCTGCTATACCCCTTCTTAACCTGATGTCTCTACTAATGCTTTTTTTTTTTTTTAATTTATTTATTTTATGTATGTTGAGTGTACATGTACACCGGCACGCCAGAAGGGGACATCAGATCACACTATAGATGGTTGTAAGCCACCATGTGGTTGCTGGGAATTGAATTCAGGACCTCTCTCTCTCCAGCCCCACCAATGTATTTTAAAAGTGCCTTGACTTATTACTTTCTTCATTCTGTTATCATAAAAAGTCACCAAATTGTTACTGTGTTGGAACATGGTAACCTGAATCTGTGTTTCTGGTCCATGGTCATACTTGGCTCCAGAATAAACTTCCTTACCCTCTTTGATGTGGAAGTGGTGTTTTCACATTGTCATTTATGTGTGTGTCAGAGTTGGCCCTCAGGACCACCAAGAATAGAACTCCCAGAAACCTTTGGGACATGAGGCCTCAGCCAATGCTGACTACAGCCAGCACTGTGCTCAGGAGTGCAGACCGTACCTGAGTGGCAAAGATGGCTCTCTTCATCATTGTGAAGTCCTCCTTGTCCAGCATCTTGTTCATGTCCGGAAGGCTCCCCCTGCAAGGGGAGGGGCAGGTATTTGGGAATGAAGTGCTGGAACACATCAAGTTACCAATAATGGGAGCAGGGCCAGGACTGGGCACTCACACCAGCAAGGATTCGTAAAGCTTCCTCCCAAATTTCTCCTTAACTGTATTGGCTGTGTCCCTGGAAGGGAGAGAGAAAAATATCACATATGTACCAACTACTATTTACTGTCAGGCTTTGGGGGCAACCGAGAAACTGAGGTCTGGGCAGCGAAGCTATGCCCTGGGGGGACTTCAAGCAGAAGGATGGAGACTGGGGAATGCTGGAGTTCTTTGGCTGGGAACAGGTGGCCTCTCTGACTTCAGTGAGTCATCTGTAAGAGGAGTGTAAAAATAGAACCATCCTCAGGAGTTTGCAGAGGAGTCTGAGGTCAGAAGGAAGCCCAGCACGCCAATCCTTCCAGAAATGTCAGCTATTATTAGGGGTAGGATGAGTCCTGGACAGGGCGATGCTAGGCCCTGTTTTATAAACAAGAGGAATTAATATTCCGAGAGAGGAACATCTTGGCACACAGGTTCGGAAAGACTATCACCCTGCAGTCCCATGACTTAAAATCCTCTCTGGGACATGCTGATCCAGCCACACTGGGCTCCTCTCCTCCCTTTCCTCTCTCTACCGCTCTACCTACCCTGCAGGCCCTATAAATCCGGCCTCAGGATGCTGTCTGGCATGACCTTGAACTTGTGACCCTCCTGCCTCCCCTTCCCACACCTGGTTTATGCTGTGTGGGGACTGGGAATGCTGAACGAGGAAGCAGGCTGGCAGTTGAGCTGCCTTCCTAGCTCTGCCCCACGGAACCCTGCATCTGCTGTTCCCAGGGCTCAGCTCGGTGCCTGCCTCGTGGGAGACATTCAGAGACCCGTGGACAATGAATAGATGGGTTTCAGAGTGTACGAAACGTTATGCTGTTGTGTAAGCAATTCAACTGGCCTGCCCTCAGGGGCCTTCAGAGTCCTGACGATGTCCTATGTCACCACCTGCGTCCTGTGTCATCACCCGGGCTCCAGTTCTAACCCATCTGCTGCTCCCACCCACTCTCTCGGCCTCAGTTTCTCTCCCCTTCCCTGCTCTCTGACCTTTCTCTCTTGGGGCACCCTACCATCCCCTCTTTCTCTCTCATACACTCTCCCACTGTCTCTAGCTCTCTCTCCACTTCTGTGCTATAAATCTCTTCTTACCAGATCTGCTGAGTGCATATGGCAATTGAAAATATTTTCTTAGAGGAAATAGGTTCAGTGTGCCTGCACAGCATCGGCTAAATAAACAAGGAAGGCCACAGCGATGGCAGAAAGCTTACTGAGTGACATCTGCCCTGATCACGTGCTCACACTTGTCTAGCCAGGCCACATGCTTTACGTGATGAGTTCACTAGGATTCTGATCTTGTCTGAGATAGCCACAGGGAGATAAGCCCACGGACACAGCAGGTATGGGGCCCACAGGGTCTTGGCCAAGGATTGCTGACCATAGCTGTTTGCGCACGGCTTGGCCCTTCAAGGTTTCCACGTTGAAATTGTTGGTGCGAGCCGGCATGATGAAGAACGCCACAACTGTTTGCTCGCTGCCATTCACCTGGGGCAAGGAGTAGAGGACATCAGGGTGCTGAATTCAACTGTGCCATTGCTGCTAGGAATGATGAGACTTCTGATTTTCTTTTTTACAACAATATAGGAGATTAAATTCAAAGTCTCCTGCAAACCCAGCCCCTCACTGGGGGATTCTAGGCAGGGGCTCCACCATTGACGCATGCCCCATGCATTGATTTTGATACAGAGTCTCAAAATTGCCCAGGTTGATCTTGAATTCATTCTGTAGGCAAAAGCTGACCTTGAGTTTTTAATCCTTCCGCCTCCCAGGTGCCTAGATCATAGGCATGTGCCACCAGCTCTCACTTCTGACCTTTCTGGGACCCCATGCTCTGCCCCTACCCAACGTGGTTTCCCTAACCACCTCTCTGGTCTCTGTTCTCCCCAGCTATGCACACATTTTTCTCCTCCAGCACTCTCTCACTGTGTTCAGTGGACCAGGCCTTACTCTGAGCAGATAGTTGAGCCGGGCCAAGGCCTCCAGGAACACATCCGCTCCCTTGTTGGAGAACTCGTAGCGGCCAGCAATAAAGAAATACAAAGTCTTGTCTAAGTTGAAGTCCAGGTGCCTAAATAAGCCACAGGAGAAAGTGAGGCCCAACGCCTAACCCTGTTCTGAAATCTACAAACCACAGAAGCCACAGGAATGTTTCACAATACACAGGTATCAGAGGGGAACATGCAATTTGCTGTATTTTCTCCTTTGATAGGTGCTTACTTTAACACCCATCCCACAGCTCTAGGTATCAAGAGATAACAAAGACCATGGCTGTCCAAGAAGTAAAGGACCAAGGAATCCAAACCCTCACCCTCTTCCCTGCAACTTGGGACTCTTCTTTCCTCAGACCTAGGGGTCCTGAGCACAGACTTCCTCCTCAGACCCAGGAGTCTCAACCCTGACCCACCTCTCTTAGCCATCTGGCCTACATACCCATAAAAATGGCCACGCACAAACTCCTGGATCCGTGCTTTGCTCTGCGCATGAAGGTTCTGAAACTCGTGCATAGCAGAGAACTTCTTCACGTTCAGGCCATTGGGGGTCACAATATCTAGGATTGGGGTAAGGTCCCAGGTTTCCCTCCTTCACTCTGATCACCGGCATTGGCGACCAAAGGGGAGGCAGCTCTCTTCCCACAGCTTCACTGTTTCCACAGCCCTTTGTGACCTCAGCTCCACAACGACTGATTCAACTCTGCTACTTGGCCCTTCTCCTTTTTATTTTATGCTTTAGGTTTATTCTTGTATTTTATGTGTTTATATTTTATGCAGGTGTTTGCCCTGCATGTATGTCTGTGTACCATATGTGTGCGCCTGTTGCCTATGGAGGCCAGAAGAGGGTGTCAGATCTCCTGGAGATGGAATGACAGATGGTTGTAAGTGACCATGTGGGTTCTGGGAATTGAACCTGGGTTCTTGAGAAGAGCAACCAGTGTTCATACACTCAGGGGCGCGAACACACACATACACACACACAAAGAGAAAGTGTGACAGACAAGGTTTTTTTTTTGTTTTTTTCTTTCTTTTCTTTAAAGATTTATTTGTTTATTTTTATGTATATGAGTGCTCTATCTGCATGTACACCTGCACACCAGAAGAGGGCATCCGGTCACATTATAGATAGTTGTGAGCCAACGTGTGGTTGCTGGGAATTGAACTCAGGACCTCTGGAAGAGCAGACAAGGCTCTTAACTGCTGAACCATCTCCCCAGACCTTTTTTCTGGTTTTTCGAGACAGGGTTTCTCTGTGGAGCCTTGGCTGTCTTGGACTCATTCTGTAGACCAGGCTGGCCTTGAACTCACAGAGATCCGCCTCCCCTGCCTCCCCTGGGACTGTAGGTGTGCACCACCATAGGTAAATGTTTTTAAAAAGTATATGAGGGAGGAAATGGCTGAGTCCCTAAAAGAGGCATGAAGTTAGACAGTGTATTATGGGCCAAGTGTGACCGAAGATGCTAACAATCAAAGCACTGAGGTGACTGAGCCCTCAGTTCAAGGTTACCCAGTGAGACCTTGGCTCAACAGGAAATAAGAGAGAGAGCATATATTCGGGGAGAAGCAGAGTACTGGTGGTATTTTTAGTTCCTGTTCCAGAGTGGGAGAAGGACAGGTGAAAAACTACACCTCCCAGAGTTCCTGAGTACATCAGGTCCCCGTGCAGTCACCCATCTAGAAGTTGAGTTACAGAGAGTTAGTGCTTATGAAAATACTAACTTAAAATTCTATAAAGATGACCCAATAAGCCAGGCATGATAGTACATGCCTTTAATCCCAGCACTTGGGAGTTTGAGGCCAGCCTGGTCTACAGAGCGAGGTCCAGAACAGCCAGGGCTACACAGAAAAACCTCATCTTGAAAAACAACGAGAGAGAGAGAGAAAAAGAGAGAGAGAGAGAAACCCAAGATAAAACTCACAACCACAACTTTCAATAAAAGCTGGGCATGGTTAAATGTGCCTGTAGCCCCAGTACTGGAGGTAGGGAAAGATAGACAGACAGACAGATAAATCGGTCAATCCTGGGGGCTTAAACACCCTAAGCAAATGGCAGACTTCAGGGTCAATGAGACCATGTCTTATAAAGGTGCTGGGGCTAGAGAAATGGCTCAGCAGCCAAGTGAGCTCACTGCTCCTGCAGCATCCACTTTGAGAGTTAGCAGTGCTGTAACTCCAGCTGAAGGTCAGGATCCAAGTCCTCTTCTGCCCTCTGTGAACACGAACTCGTGCACACGCATACACGCACGCATGTACCCACTCACAGAGACACACGCTTACACCACTGACATTCTCCTCTGGTTTCCACACACACACACACACACGTATGTAAATAAAACTGATGTGTATGCGTGTGCGCCCACACACACACAAAACAACAAAAAGTACAACCTAGGACAAAGTAGTAGGACAGGATTGAGCCAACCTAGTTCTAAGTTTGCTAAACTCTATAAAACCCCTATATCTGTGTCTCTTCCAGAAGATGAGCATACGTGTTAGCCACTTGTAAAATTATAAAAGAAACTATAGTTCCTATCACCCTCCAGGATACAGAGCTGGCCTCATTTACAAGCTGCCATCTCAACTCAGGACTCCGGGGAGTTCTTGCTCTATTCTCTGTGGTACTGGGCCGGGCACAGTGTCTCTTACCCCATCCACATGTAGGGACCACGCTCTGACCTACCTGGTTTCCTCTTGAGGAGGTGCTGAGCCTCAATGGCGGTGATCTGGGACACGGTCGTGAAGACGTGAGCACAGTGTGCCGCTGCGCGCTCCATGCAGTAGCGGTGATAGATCTGCCTCTCCCCGGCTTCCTTGTCCACATTGAACTGCGCAGCAAGGGGGGGCGGAAGTCAGGGCTAACAGGATCAGGGTCTGCAGGGAGGCTGGGACTGGCAGCTGCCTCTGAGAGGAGGCTCTGGGCTTGCTCTCTCGGGTGTGAGAAGGACTGATGAGGACTATCGGGTCTGTCCCTGGGTCTGATGGTGGAAGGGCTGGGATCGTGGCTTCCGGCTGAAGCTTGGGGCTCCTGCAGGACTCGTGTCTCCCACACTCCCAGCTTACGTTCTCCAGGTTGTTGTAGAAGTCCACAGCACCAGCACACAGATAGCGACCCAGCAGTGTGGCGTGAGTGGTGAAGATGGTGGCCACCGGCAAGCGCCGGGCTCTGCACAGGCACAGCCCAATGCCTGCCAACCACTCATGGAAGTGGGCAACCACATATGGCTTCTCTTCGCTCTGGGCCAGGAACTACGGGGCGATAGGGACGGGATCACCATGTTTCCCCATGTCACAAGGTGAACCAGCGACCCCCAGCACAGGCAAGGGAGCAGGGGAGAGGTCTACGCAGCTCTGCGGGCGGCCCTCCCACAGACAAGGAGGCAGCCAGCAAACCCCAGGTCAGGCCAACCAGCTGCCCTCATCCCCAGGGGCTGATGGGAATTTGTCAGGTGTTGCTGTTGTTTTGTTTTTGGCCAATGTCTGACTCCTGGCAAGGTTTAAATGGAAGGGCCAACATGTCCATGCCCCCAAGTCCTGGTCACAATTTCAGGAGACTCGGATTTCTTTGGGTTTTTTTTGGTTTGTTTTTTGTTTGCTTGTTTGTTTGTTTGTTTGTTTTTGAGACAGGATTTCTCTGTGTAGCCCTGTGTGTCCTGGACTCAGATCAGGCTGGCCTCAAACTCACAGAGATCTGCCTGTCTGTGTCTCCTTCCTGAGTGCTGGGATTAAAAAAGTGAACCATTATGCCTGACTGAGACATTTCAATCAATGGTAGACTCTTCATGGGCAAAAACAGGATCAAAATTCCCAGAATTCTTTGAAGCAAGTAGCTCCTGTTTGTCCAAGGGCATTCTAACTGTTTCTCAAAACTTTTAAACATCTGGGGGGGGGGGGATACAAAGTGAGTAAAGTGTAAATAATAAAGAAAATAAACAAACAAACAAACAAACAAACAAACAAACAAACATCCGAGAATGTGTGTGGGGTAGGGAAAGCCCAGATTCCTGATTCTGCAACCAACTGAAGATAGCAATAATGAAATGTGCTTGGGGGTAATTGACATCAGACTAGAGAGCCACTCCCAGAATCCCTCCCTGGAGGTCATGCCACAGCTGTTCACACCTGGAAGACTAGGGAAGTGCCTGAGCCTGGCACTTCTAGTCTCTGAGGAAAGATGATAGACTGGGGGTGGGGGGTATGTTCTCCAGGACAGAGTTGATTCTTGGATTAAAGAGTATACAATTCCCAGAATGCCCAGGGGAAGCCCACCTTTGGCCCCAGGGGTGAAGATGATTATAGTTTCAGGACTGGGTGGGAAGGAGGAGGCGGGGTGTGTAGCAGGGCCTACCTCACCCAGGAACCAGGTGGTGAGGAAGCCAAACAGGACGGCGTCGTTGGCCTCGCGGTCATACCAGGGCACCCCGATGTTGCAGGTGTCCCAAAGCTCACCCTTCCAGCGCTCCAGGGCCCAGGCTGAGGCCCCCACATCCAGGAGCACCACCAGGGGTCCGCCCTCGATCAGCCAACGCCCAAAATACACCTGGGTGAGAAGCAAGGGCGGCTCAGACAACCTGGCACAGCGGTCTCCCACGCTGCCTGATTTCCCCAGCCTGGTAACTGAGCCCAGCTAATTCACGCTTCCCCATGCCTCATGTGTGCCCCGGTGCTCCTCTACCCATTGGCCTGTTTTGTAATCTGTCGTCACATGCCTAACAACCCGCATTGCACTTTCCTAACCATTGCCACGTTCCTAAAACTTGAAGCTCTATTTCAGTCCCCACCAGCCGCTTTCCCTAGACCACAGGTATGGCTGCAGGCCACTGATCTCGCTAGTGGCGAGGCTTCTGTCCTCTGTCCTAACCTGGCTCCATCCTGCCAGGGCCTCACTGGGGCGCCCCTCCCCCTCCCAGCTGTTGTCTGCCCTTTTGCTGGGAGGGGTCTATTATTAGGAACAGCTGCCCTGGGGGTGGGATGTGGCCACTCTGGGGTCCTGTAGGGACATGCTCTGGCCTGACTGGAGCCCACCCCAAACACAGGCTGTGAAGGAGTCTTCCCAGCACACACATCCTGAGTGCTGGGACCTCACAGCTTCTCTCTGTGGTTCTTAGGATGGAACTCAAGGACCATGGTAGGCAGAGGCTCTACTACTGGGCCACACCTCTAGTCCCTCACTGGAGAATTCTAGCCAGGGGATCTGAGGCACATCCCTTTTCTCCTCTTTTTCGTCCCTGGATCTGCTCATCTCAGGCTCCGCTTCTCCTCTCCCTTTATCTATAGTCCACCTTTTTGCCTGTCTAGCTATTGTTCTTTATTTATTTACTTTGAGACAGTGTCTTGTTATGGTCCAGACTGGCTTTGAACACACAGAGATCCTCCTGCCTAAGTTTCCCAGGTGCCCTGGCTGTCTTTCTGTCTAGCTCAAACTTGCCTACCCTCTGGATCTGAGGATCTCAGCTTAGACCCATCTGCATCCATCTGATATCCACTGGGCTGCTTCACCAGATCCTGCCTCAGTCCATCACTTTCTTCCCTAGGCCTGCTGGGAACTCACTACCCATTGCTATCCCCGCCTCCTGCTTCCACTCCACCCTTTCTTCACCTGTGGCTAGCCCCCTGCGGGCACACCGCGGCCCCACCCCCCTGGTAGGGCTGTGTCCCACCTTACAGCCCTTGCTGTTCATGGAATCCAGAGTCCTCTTCAGCTCAGGAGTTGGGGGCTCCAGCAGCTCCACCTGTGTCCTCACGCCCTGCTCCGTGTATGGTCCCACCAGATAGTAGTTGTCACCCCATTCGTCCCCTGTCACCTTCGCCTTCGTCTGCAGCACAGTGTAGATGCCACCCACTGTGGGCCAAAGTGCAGAAGGACAGACAACCCCACCATTGGTCCAGAGCGTTGAGACCTGGGGGGTTGATGGGATGTGTGTGCGCAGTGTTGGGGCAGAAGATGGGCAGGAACCCATACGTGGGAAGCAGGGAAGGTGGGACCTGGAGGCTTGGGTCATGGAAAAGCAAACCTGCGGGCAGCCCTCTTGGGTCTGTGGAGAATGGGGACTGAGAGCAAGATGCTGAAGGGGGAGCAGGTTCCAGTTAGATGCCTGGTCCTGAGACAGGAAGGGCTCCTAGTCTGAGAGAATTAGGAGCTGGGAATACAAGGCTTATAGACTCAGGTTCTAATGCTCCCAACTCTCAGATGCACTGAAGAATGGTACATGACCCCATCAGCTTCGCACAGCCACCTAAGGGGAGCTGGAATTCCTCACCTTCAGAGGCCCTGACTATGCTCACCCGGGCTGGGGCACAGGCATGCTGGGCCCGACCCTTCCTGTGACCCCACCTCAGATTTAGGAATCTAGGCCCTCAGCTTCTTCACCTGGAACCAGCCCCTGGCAGTCTGCCAACTCCCAACATGCTGGGAGACCCAGTCTCTCCTCCCCCAAGACCCAGAAAAGGAAACAGATCCACAAAGACCAACTCCTGGGGATTCCAGCCCAGCCTCCTCATGAGCCAGAAGCTAGTGGCCCTAGACACTCATAGGATCACCCATACATACAACCGTGGGCTGTGGGCTCCTCCCAGCCTAGGATCCCATTCCAGTGTGCAAGTGATGGGGCCCCCAGGGAGGCACCTCTCCGCTGAGGAAGCCATGGCTCCAGCCCTGGGCTCCTTCAAACTCTTCAAACTCAGCATTCAAGTTCCCAACTCTTTTCCACCTAGGATCTAAGAATTTCAGTGTCCAGGCCCCTCTCCTCTTTACACCAAATCGGTCAGGTCTGCTATGCTCCCTGAAAAGTCCATGAATCCCAACTTTTCAAAGCACTCTTTCTACAGTCACATACTCTGGACCACAGACCCCAAAGCTCCAGGGCTTCTCAGGGTCAGATATATCAGCTCCTTCCCCTTCTAGATCCCAGGTCTCCCGGCCCTCGAAAGCCTCCCTCTAAGACCCAGGAAGCCCTCTCTAAGTGCCCTCTTCCCTAGATCGCAGGACTGAAGCCTCCTTCCATCTTAAGAGTAGTTTCTTGCCCCATCCCCCAAGGCCTAGAACGCCTACTCCAGCCCCTCCACAAGGACACAGAAGTCACAGGCGCTTTTCCCAGGACCCAAGAGTCCTCCACGTAGCCAAATCGGAGTTTCGGGCCCCCATCCTCTACTGCCCTTCTCGGTCAAGGGACCGACGCTGGCGTTCTCACCCTTGTTGGCCACCTCCCAAGCCACCTCGAAAAGCACTGTGTTCTCCGGGTCGAACTCATTCTCCCAGTCTTCCAAGCCTGGAAGCGAGGACATGGAGAGGCTGCGGCTGAGAGGCATGGCTGCTACAGGCAAGGCACCTCGAGCACCAAAAGTGAAAAGCGGAGAGGTCGGCTGGGAATGCACCAGACGTGGTGACGGGCTGAGTTAGCGGGTGTCCCACGGGAAGCTTGCAAGACACTCCGCTTCCTATTACACGACCGCACCCCCGCACCGCGGCGCTCCGACTCAGGTAGCTGCGCGCCCACACTGAGCCCGGCGGGCAGCCGCAGTGAAGCCTTGTGGCCGCCAGGAGGCACTGCCCAGCCTGACGGCCTAGTACGATTGGTTCGCGTCTGAGGGGCAGGGGCTGCTGCGTCTTCTTATTGGAGGACAGAGTCCAGTTTCTTCGGCCAGAGCTTTAGGGGGCGGGGCTTGTTGCTACGCATCATGCAAGATTGGAGAATAGAGCTGTCAATCTCAGCGGTCGGCCCCAATTTGTTAAGGGTGGAGAGAGAGGAAAGGGATCGTGAAGGACGTGTGGTTGCTACAAAAAGTGTTCGGAATTTTGCAATCAGACTTAGCGGTTCCGGAGGGCGGGGTTGGGGTGGGCTGGATAAAAGGAGGAGGAGGAGCAGGAGACGTCAGGAACCCACCCGGGCTTCAGACACCCGCCTTGCAAGAGAGTGGGCGCGGCCTGGTGTACGCCCCCAGGAGGGTTTTGCATATTTTATGAACCATAGAGATGACTGGATGACCGAGGAGCCTAGATAGGAAAAAGACCACGCTCCTAGCTGATTTCCGCTTCCGCTGAGGCATTGGCCGTTGGTGTGCATCATGGCAACCGTGGTAAGTGCTGGGTGCGCGTGGAGGACCGGGAATAACCCCCCCTTCACGGAGACTGAAGGAGTCTGAAGAGGACTCGTGGGGCTGAAAGAAGAGCGATAAGAAAGATGCCTAACCTTGGGGGAGGAGGGCTGGAGAGAACCTCGGAGTCTGAGGAAGGATGCTGAGGAGGACACCTGGGTCTGACAAGGAGCTACTTGGGAGGATGCATATGATGTCTAAGGGAGAAGAGCATCTCTGCATGAATCTGAAGGAAGGGGGCTGAGAAGGTCGCCTGGTTATCAAGGAGAGGGCTGAGGACATGTGGCTGTAAGGGAAGTGTTGGAGGGGAGGATACAAAGGTCTGAGGGAGGAGGGCCGGTGTGTGCACCTTTGTGGTTGGGGTAGGAGGGCTGGAGCCTGAATCCCTGGGTGTGAGGGAGGAGGACTGGATGAGGCCTGGTTTAGGGAAGGAAGACTGGGGAGAGAAGCTGGGTGTGAGGGAGGAGGGCTGGTGAGGATGCCTGAACTTAGTGGAAGAAAGCTGGCCCTGGACTCCCGGGTCTGAAGGAGGAGGATGGTGTCTTGACTTCTGAGGACGGAGAAAGCCTCGTTATAGCCTTAGAGTCTGATGGAGAAAACAATTATGTATTAAGAATCCTAAGTCTGTCAGGCATAGTGGTGCATACCTTTAGTCCCAGCACTTGGGAGGCAGAAGCGGGCGATCTCTGGGAGTTCAAGGCCAGCCTGATCTACAGATTTGAGTTCCAGGACAGTCAAGGCCTCACAGAGAAGCCCTGACTCGAAAAACAAGAACAACAGCAAGAATCCTAGGTTTGATAAAAGAGTCGTGCGGATACTCAGATTTCTCTGTGAATGAATGAATAAGCAAGAGCCTGGAAAAGCAGACATCGTGTTATAGAAACATCATCCTCTTGATGCAGTCAGTGGCCAGATTCAAAGTCTTGTCTCAGTGTCCTTTGAGGATTGTGAGGCGAGTGCCCTGAGCTCTGGGGAAGAGTAGCAAATGGGAACCAGTGTTGTGTGCCTGAGAGCACAGGTCACGGGGCTGGAGAGATGGCTCAGAGGTTAAGAGCACTGTCTGCTCTTTCAGAGGTCCTGAGTTCAATTCCCAGCAACCACAAGGTGGCTCACAGCCATCTAGAATGAGATCTGGTGCCTTCTTGTCGGCAGGTGCACGTGTAGACAGAACATTATATACATAATGAATAAGAAAATCTTAAAACACACAGAGAGCACAGGTCACATCGATGAGAATGTGTGTCAGGAAGCAGGAGTTCGTGGTGAGAAGCAGAGTACAGGCTCGGAGCTTGGGATCTCATCTAGTGACTTTGTATTTTCAGAACCTCAAAAGGGCTCGTGTCTGTGTGAACACACAGTTCTTTGAATGTTAAAATGAGCGAGTAAACCCCAGGAAGTGAGACATTAGCTCACCAAACCTCCCAGTGGAGGAATACTGTGGCCTTGTGGTGGCCTCAGTTCCATTGTTGAGGCCAGTCAGGTTATAGGAGGGCCAGTAGAGAGTCTGCTGTTAGCATGGTGAGGAAGAGAAGAAAAGAGCCTCCCTCGCCTGAAGTTCTGCCCTGGTAGCTTTAGGTGAAGAGGTGGCCGGGCTGTTGCTGTGTTAGTTGCCTTTTTTTATTCTTCGTTCCCATTCAAGACCAGCTGTCTTTAGGCTCAGGTCCTAATATATTTTGAAATTATTATTACACGTATGTATTTTATGTGTATGAGCTTGACTATGTACTGTGTACACATAGTGCCTAGAGAAGGCCAGAGGAGGGCGTTGGATCTCCTGAAACTACAATTATGGCTTTGAGCTCTTAATCTCTGTGCCATCTCTGCAGCCCCTTTTGTCATTTGTATGAACGTTTTGCCTATAGGTACATCTGTTCACCATGTGCGTGCCTGGTGTCCACAAAAGACAGGAGGGATTGGAGCTACAGATGATTGTTAGCTGCCATGTGGGTGCTGGGAATCAAGCCTGCCTGGGTCCTCTGGAAGAGCAGCCATGCGCTTAGTCACTAAGCTGCTTCCACAACCCCGTGTTATAGGCTTGCTTTTTGTTTGCTTTTCAGGGTTTCTCTGTAGCCTTGGCAGTCCTGGACTCAGAGATCCACCTGCCTCTGTCTCTGCCTCCCCGAGCTGGGGTTACAGGTGTGCATCACTGCCCAGCCAAGCTGTTGTTTTTAAATAATATTTATTATCTGTGTGTGTGTGTGTGTGTGTGTGTGTGTGCGCGCGCACGACCCTGCACAGGCTGGGAGACAGTGCTAAAGCTTCAGGAACTGGAGTTAAAAGTACTTGTGGGCTGCTGTATGGGTGCTGGAAACCGAACCTGCGGCCTCTGCAAAAGGAGTAAATGAACACGCATAAGCACTGAGTCATCTCTCCAGACCCTAAGTTGTGTGTGTATACATATACATATATGTGTGTGTGTGTATAAATATCTTTTTAAGACAGGGTTTCTCAGGGCTGGAGAGATGGCTCGGTGTTTAAGAGCACCGTCTGCTCTTTCAAAGGATCTGGGTTCAATTCCCAGCACCCACATGGCAGCTCACAACTGTCTGTAACACCAATTCCAAGGGATCTGACACCTTCAAGCTAATGTGCATAAAATAAAAACTAAATTTTAAAAGGTTTCGTTAAAAAAAAAAAAAAAAGACAGGGTTTCTCTGTGTAGAACTCACACAGAAAAGGCGTGTGGCTCTATGCCTGGACCTAAATATAAATACATGTATAATTTCACGTGTGTTTGTATGGATGGTCACTTAATAGGGCATGTGTACACATCAGAGACAACTTGCGGGAGGGAGTAGGTTCCCCCATTCCACCATGTGGGTTCCAGAAATTGAATTCGAGAGGCAGGCTTGGAAGCAGGCACTATTACCTGCTGGTTCTCCCTGAGTCCCAACTCAGGCCACTTCTCCTTGGGGGCTTCCTCATTGTCACGTTGACCCGTGACCCCTATAGTCATTCTTTCCCTTCACCTGGGCTCCATTCTCTGACCAGTGGCCTCAACAGGACTTGAAAGCATGGCCTCCAGTTGGAAGGTGCCAGGAACCTAGGATTGCCAGGAACCACATGGACAGAAAGAAGTCTTCTGGACTGTGGCAGCCTTGGCAGCCACAACACCCACATTTTGGGGGTTGTATGTATAGAATTGTTTAGTACAGTGGACTAGCCCCTCCTCTAGGGCATAGAGGCAGTTCTTCCTGGGCCCCATGTGTCCAACTAGAGAGCCAGCACAACTGGGTCTGAGTTCCAAGGGTATTACCAGCATGAACATAGTAGCCTTTAATTTTCTTGTTGCCACAGTGTTAGCCTGACGTCTTCCCACCAAGGTTTTGTAAGCTGCCACCTGCCTTCTTGTACGAAGGCAGGAGTTGTAGCTGGAAGGTGAGTGCTACAGTCGTGACTGTTGCTGTGTCCTCAGCACAGGTTACTCAGCCCAGTTAAAAGCCAAGCAGGGAAGGTGGTGTCTTATGTAGGGTTTCCGTTGTGGTGGTAAAACAACCAAAAGCAACTTGGGGATGGAAGGGTTTGTTTCATTTTGTTTCTGTTGTTGTTTGTTGGGTTTTTTTTGGTTTGGTTTGGTTTTTGGAGATCGGGTTTCTCTGTGTAGCCCTGGCTGTTCTGGAACTCACTCTGTAGAGCAGGCTGGCCTGGAACTCACAGAGATCCGCCTGCCTCTTTGTCCCCCAAGTGCTGGGACTAAAGGTGTGCACAATCGTGCCGGGCTTGGATTTGTTTCATTTTGACAGCTTGTAGTTCATTATCGAGGGACCGAAGCCCAGGCCATGGAGGGCTGCTTGCTGGGCTCTTGCTCCTCATGGCCTGCTCAGCATGCTCTCTCAGCATGACACAATCCAGCTGTGGTGCTGCCCACAGTGAGCTGGGCCCTCCCACATCAGTGGAGAAATCCACTGCAGACTTGCATATAGGCAAATCATAGGGAGGTGGTTTCTCAGTCATGATCCTCTCCTGCCAGGCAGTGATGGCGCATGTGCCCGGGAGGCAGGTGGAGCTCTGTGAGTTCGAGGCCAGCCTGGTCTACAGCGTGGGTCCAGGACAGCCCGGGCTACACAGAGAAACTGCCTCGATGTTTATAAAAAGAAAAGATTTTCTCTTCCATAATGACTCTGGCTTGTGTCCTATCATAAAGCTGACCAGCAGTTGTATTTCAAGGCGTACAGTTGGAGGGGAGTCCTGTGACAGTAGGAGCCTGAGGCAGCTGGTCACACTGCATTCTCCATCAGGAAGCAGAGAGTGATGAGCGCTGGTGCTCAGTTAGGGTGGGTCCTCCCGTCTAACCCGACCTAGAAGCTCCCTCTCAGACATGCCCGGAGGTTTGTTTCCATGCTGATTGTTAACTGCCATCACGTTGACCAATGAAACGTCACAGAGTGGAA